AGTCTGGGCTCGCATCCATGGTCTCTTAATGTCTGCATAACACTTGACCAGGACCTTCTGGCTTTCATTGTTTCCATTGAGAAGTCAGGTGTAATTTTGATAGGTCTGACTTTATATGTTACTTGGCCTTTTTCCTTTGCAGCTCTTAATATTCTTTCTTTATTCTGTATGTTTAGTATTTTGATTATTATGTGGCAAGGGAACTTTTTTTTTGACCCATTCTATTTGGTGTTCTGTAAGCTTCTTGTATCTTCATATGCTTATCTTTCTTTGGGTTGGAAAAGTTTTCTTCTATGATTTCATTGAATATATTTTCTGTGCTTTTAAATAGGACTTCTTTTCCTTCTTCTATCCATATTATTCTTATGTTTGGTATTTTTATGGTGTCCCATATTTCCTGGATATTTTGTGTTAAGTTTTTGTTAGGTTTAATGTTTTCTTTGACCCATGAGTCTATTTCCTCTATTGTATCTTCAGTGCCTAAGATTCTCTCTTCCATCTTGTATTCTGCTCTTTATGCTTGTGTTTGTGTTTTTCTCATAATCTCTGCATCTATAATCCCCTTGGTTTATGTTTTCTTTATTGTCTCTATTTTGGTTTTCATTTCTTGAATAGTTTCTTCCATCTGCTTGATTGCTTTTTCTTGATTTTCTTTAAGGGATTTGTTGATTTCTTCCAATTTTTTGTTTGTCTTTTCCTCCATTTCTTTGAGGGAATTTTTCATTTCCTCTTTTTTTTTCAAAGTTTATTAAAATATAAAAGTTTCCATTTTCGCCCCTCCTCCCAACACCCTCCCACTCCCCCCACTCCCTCTCCTCTTCCCTCTCCATCCCTAAGAGCAGTCAGGGTTTCCTGCCCTGTGGGTAATTCAAGTTCCTCCCCGCTCCCTCCAGGACCAGGAAGGTGAGTATCTAGTCAGACTGGATCCCCAAAAATCCAGAATATGCAGAGGAAACACATCCCAGAGTCATTGTCAATGGCTTTTTAGAAAGACTTCGGGCCAGCCACATTCAGAGAATCCAGCCTCCTCCAGAGAATCTGGTTGGATCAAGCGCTCCTTCAGTCCCAGTCAACTGACCTTGGTGTCATTTCCTCTTTAAGGGCCTCAAACATTCTCCTAAAGTTATTTTTTTTAGGTCATTTTCTTCTGCCTCCTCTGTATTTGGTTGTTCAAGTTTTGCTGTTGTAGGGCCACTAGTGTTTGTTGGTATCATGTTACTCTTTGTGGTATTGACTGTGTTCTTACCTTGTCTACCCATCTTTTCCTCTGATTGGTATAGTTGGGACTGTATCTCTCATGATCAGTCTTCTAGGTGCCAGTGGATCCAAGGCTCTTTTGGTTGCTCCTCATAGCGCAGTCAGTGACCCTGGAGGTCACTCAACATTCCCAGGGGTCGCTCTACAATCCTGGGCATCATTTGGGCCTGCTCCCACAGAGGTTGCTTGCTTGGGACTGGTCCTGCTGAGGTTGCTGCCTTGAGACTACTCTGACAAAGGTTGCTGGGTTGGGCCTGCTCCCTCAGAGGTCACTGGCTCAGGTCTGCTCCTGTGGAGGTCATTGGCTCAGGCCTTCTCCTATGGAGGTTGCTGCCTAAGGCCTGCTCCAGCAGAGGTTGCAGACTTGGGCCTGCTCCCACAGTGGTTGCTGGCTCAGGTTTATTCCCACAGATGTCCCTGGCTTAGGCCTCTCCCTCAGTGGTTGCTCTCTTGTGCTGGCTCCTGTGGAGGTTGCTGCCTCAGCCCTGCTCTATCCACAGTGCATGCTCTGAGTCATCTCTCCTGCCCTGAGTTATTTTATTTTTAGTTGCGTGTGTCTGCGGTGAGGTATATGAACATGAGTGCAGTGTTCATTGAGGCCAGGAGAGGGCATCAGATCCCAGAGCTACCTGACATGGGTGCTGGGAACCAAACTCTAATCCTTGGCAAGAGCAGCAGGCACTCTTAACTGGTGAGTCATAACTCAAGCCAGGGATTTCTACAGATTGAATAATATTGTATTTAACATCTACTGCTTCTAACTAAACTGCCTTATTGCAATATTTTTGAGCTTCTTTGAGTTTTGTTTAGATTTCTTTTTGTTGGCAGTTATAACAGTTCTATATAGATTCTTCATTATTTTCTTGAAATAAACTAGGAATGAAATCTCCAGGTTGAAGAGATGTGCATTTTTTTTCAGTTTTTTGAGACAGGGTTTTTCTGTAGCTTTGGAGCCTTTCCTGGAACTAGCTCTTGTAGACCAGGCTGGCCTCAAACTCACAGAGATCCACCTGCCTCTGTCTCCAGAGTGCTGGGATTAAAGGCATGTGCCACCACCATTTCAAGGTTTTAAATTGTTAAATAGTCGCATTTGCCTTCAAAATCCTGTATGAGCTTCATCCACGATAAAAATATTTAATATTGTCTACTCACTTATTAGTATCGAAAATTTTATAAATCTTAAAAAAAAATACAGATCTCTACCTACCTACCTGAAACGCAATAAACTATACCTAACTGTATTAATTTTCCCATCTTTGGCAGCAGAGTCAAACTTTCTTTTTCATGGGAAGACATTCATTCTCATTCTTCCTTCTGCGAGATACGCCTCTCTGCTGTTTGTCCATCTGACTGCTAGCCTGCTTCTCTCTGTGTAGTCCTATAGGAACTCTCCTTACAGCAAGGGCCCGCTGTGCTTTACTCTTTGTGGTAGGAGACATTTTTTTAAAAAATCACTTTGTTTACTTTGTGTACAAGAAGAGGAGGAGTTGCAGAGGCAGAGACACCATGAGGAAGCCGGGTCTCTACTTCCATAATGTGTGTCCTGGGACTCGGGTCCTTAGGGTTGGCAGCTGGCACTTTTATCCCGTGAGCGTCTTCCTAGCCCTAGAGACATCTCTGAATCCACCTCAGCACACAGCACAGTCTCACTTCTGTTTCAGGGACTCACCAAACACACTGGGGTAAGAGTTGGAGTTATTTCCAGCCCCACTCTGAGAACACAGGATGTCAGTTACGTATACACACCCCTTTTATCCAGAGCAGCTGGTGGTTGGTTTCAAAATCTATTTAACATATCGATGGAACAACTTATGTCGTCATTTCAATGCTAGAGATTAGACCCCTGCGCTTTGCTGAGAATGTGCTCCGAGACTGAGCTGGAACCCCGGCGCACGAAGGACTGACTACGTGCAAGGTGCTAGGCACGCTACAAAGAGCAAAAGATTTCATTATAGTTGGAGGATGCAGGTGATAAAGACAAATAGAAAAAAATGCATACTACCCCAGGTATATCAAGGCAGAGTGGCAGTCGGCATGTAGGGTGAGAAGGGAATTGTGGGTAGAGTACATTGAGGAACAGTTGAGAGGTAGAGAGGGAGGAGGTGCTGAGTGGATGTCTGCAGAAAAGGCCTTTGAAAAGCAGACTGAACGGTGCATACAAAGGCCCACAGACCCAGCAAGCCAAGCAAAGATATAGATAAGGATCAGCGGAGCAGTCAGGTGGCTTGCAGAGGGCAGCCTAGGGAGCTGGGTGCAGCGGCACCCACCGTTCACGATCTACAGGCTGTTGCCCAAACATGGCTTTTCCTGTGAGTGAAACGGAAGTGTATGAAACAGAGGCCCATCGTGTGTCATGAAAAGATGTCTCCAGCTGGTGTCTGGGGACAGGACTGGGTGTTCAGGTGGGCACAGATACAAACAGGGAGAGATAGTAGCATCTCAGACCACCTGGGCGATGGCCGCAGAGATGGTGAGTTGGGGGGAGGGGTGCTGTGGGGTGCTGGTCATTGTTCGAGGAAGAGAAGCCAGTTGAGTTTTCTATTATAAAATGTGAGAGGGAAAGGAGAAGGATTAGTGGTTCTGAGAATTTGGGCTGGAGTAGCTGAAGGGCGCAAGCAGAATGAGCGGAACTGAGAATGACACAGCAAATGGGATTGCGAGCTTCAAGTCTGGGAGCATTGAGTGTGCAGTGACTCCTCAACCGTGTGGGCAGCTGGACACTGGCTGTGTGGAAGAGCTGGCGTTTCAGGGTTTTTCCTTCTGCCCCCCCCCATTCCCACTTTACTCTTTCTGGTTCCTTTTTGGATTTTCGGAAAGTTTAAAATCATAACCAAGTTATGTTTTTATAAGAGAAGAAAAACAAACCACATTTAATTTTAAATAATGGCAGGAGAGAATGTGCTATGGCAGGAATAAATGCATGTTACAGACTGTCTAGTGTGTACATTCTGTCCAGGGTGTATATTCTGTCCAGTTTGTACAGACTGTCCAGTGTGTACATTCTGTCATTTGCGTACTTTCTGTCTAATATGTACATTCTGTCCAGTTTGTACAGATTCTCTAGTTTATACAGACTTCTATTAAATCTGTTTGAGTCTACAACCAGACATTTCAATCAATTTGACATTCTCTGTGGTCCTCCCTCACTGGAGGCCCCTGCCCTGAAGGAGCTCTCTGTGCTGTGAACTCCTTCCTGGAAGGTCCAGGTGTGAAAAGCTTAGTCCCTAGGGTAGCTCCTCAGTAGGTGGGGTTAGTAGGAGAAGGTGCTTAAGGGGAGATTCTGAAGTCACTGGGGACGTGCTCTTAAACAGGATGGGAACCCTGCTCCTTCCTCTTCTTTTGTTTTGCTTTCTGAGCACAGGACACAGTTGGCTTTTGTCACCTGGCACTTCCCCACCCCCAACACAAAACAATGACCACTGCCCTATTTTGACCTGATCTGGAGGTCAAAGCAATGGGTTTGCCCTATTTTGACCCAGGACCTTCTCAACTGTGAGCAGAAATATTTTTTTTTCTCATTGCAAGTTGCTGATGTCCTATTTTGTTGTCAGTTTATACAGAGCTCAAGATCCAACAGGCTCCAGGGCACATCGCGGTAAACGCCTAGTCAAACCAGGCCACAGGAAAGCACTCCCCAAATTCCCACATAATAAAAACATCTAAGGCACATGGGCTCAATACAGATCATCTCTGGCTCACACTGAGTGTCGTTGAGTACAAAACAGAGGAACACAGGCAGAGCGGTCAGTTCTCTCTTTACTGAAATACCAGTCAGAGAAGGTGAAGGACACCACTGGAAACAGGCCAGCCCTTTCCCCTTGCACACACCCTCAGGCAGAGTGGACAAATGCCTTGTGGTCAGGTGTGGGGTAGGGCTCTCAAGTCAGCTGACCTTCATGGGTGCCATCTGGGTCCACGGCACAGTACCATGGCTTTGGTCGGTTTGGAGCCCAGGCCACAAGCAGCATTACTCTTCTTCCATGGAGGGCGTGCCTGGTTGCAGCTAACATCCTTCAGCCCCTTCTGATGCTCAGTAAGGACACTTGGACAAGTGGCATGTGGGTGTGCAGTTCACAGCTGAGCTGGAAAGCAGAAAGACAGGTGGGGTGCCCAGCCTATCTGCCCTCCATGGGCCAAGGACAAGAAGGGGCAGCAGAGGGACAACAACAATGCTTCCCAAGACATTTAAAACATACATCCGGTTCTCACTCGCATTGCATGAGGGGTAAAGTGGTGTGGACTGGCTTAACCAAGCTCACACAGCTACCTAGAACCCACCCTCAGAGCTACCTGACCTCTGTGCCTCGCACCATTGACCAGACTGTAGTTGGAGGCCACTTGTTTGTTTCCTGGCTTCCCAGACCTGAAATAATTACAACACTGCTTGGCCTATTAGATTGTCCAGGCAGCAAGATGTCTCTGTCAATTCTAGAGTTTTGGAAGTTGCTTACAATGCACTTCCTCTAGCATAAGGCTGCCTGTCAGCCTCTCTTCCGGGTCTGTTCTTTCAAGAGGTAACATGGAGCCTGAACTGCTGTGGTTCTCACTGACTGTGAAAGGTGTCATCCGCAAGGCTGAGACATTGGTGGAAGAGGGTGGGAGGGGCAGTCTGTCTTAGGAGGCACACTAGGTCTGTTCTCACTGTTCTCAATAGGGTAGAACTTGGACACTTCATGAAGCCTGCACTGAGCTAAGCCTATGGCCTTTATACGGAGCTGGCCCAGTCTAATCTTCCACTCCTTCACAGTACCCCCAAAAGCCTTGACCCCAGAACCTTACTTAAGAGAATTTCTCCAGATTGGTATACAAACACACCACCATCTTCCTCCCTGCCTGGAGCATCTCCGAGGGGTTCCTCTATATCTAGCATGCCTACTTCAGATCCCCTCCCACCCATGTGATGTTTCCTGGGATGTCAGTCGTGGTGGCTGTGATGTCAGTTTTGTCAGCCTGATGCACTCTAGACTCGACCAAGTGTTGTCTGGATCAGCTTGATTTTGGGAGATTGTCTTATAAAGTTATTTAACATGGGAAGACCTAGCCCTAGCATGTCAATGGTGCTAGCTATTGACAGCACCATTCCCTTGACTGGGGTGCTGGACTGTATAAGAGTGGAGAAAGTCCGGGCGGTGTTGTATGCCTTTGATACCAGAACTTAGGAGGCAGAGGCAGGCGGATCTCTGTGAGTCTGAGGCCAGCCTAGTCTACAGAGTGAGTTCCAGGACAGCCAGGGCTGTTACAAAGGTAGGCTGAGCAGTAACGTGTTTGTGTTCGTGTATTCCTCTGTAATATCTCCCTTCCTTATGTCTGGAGAAAGACCGTGAAGAATGGGGGCACAGGGCTGCAGAGACAACACTCCTGATTAGTTTGCATGCTGTTCCAGTCATGTGTGACAGTGGGGGAGCCACCTGTAGATTTCTCAGCCTTTGCCTTTTCCATGTGACTTGGTTTCCATGTGACTTGGTTTCCATGTGACTTGGCTGCTGCTGCTTGCAACCACGACCTCTGTTTACTTTCCCCTTGACATTGCTGGCCTTTTCAAGAGCCAGAAGACCTACATTTCTAGGACCTGAAAAAACTGGGTCTGGGGTTGGGGAGATTCATTCACTTTACGAAAGGGAACGGAAGAATTGAGAAGCTAGGCAAGATCAAAGCCAGACCTGAGCCCCAGGTACACCTAATGCTCTCTCGTGTAACACTGTTTCAAGTCGTAGTGCCCCTCTGTGTCCTGCCCCTGGGGTCCCCGAGAGCCCCTCACTTTTCGTCTGATGCCTCACTTACCTGGTGCATCAGCTTCTCTGCAGCTTTGGGCTCAGTGAGGTCCTCAGGGGAGGCCACACTCACACGTACAAGGAGGAAGCCGCCATCTTCACCTGAAAGTTGAGGATAGAGGAAAGATGGTGAAAACGGTCCATTCCTCTCCAACCTGGGCCCTCTCCATACGGGTCTACACTCCTGCTTGTCTTTCGTTTGTTGTTTTGTTTTTATATTATTGTTGTTGTTGTTGTTGTTTATTAATTTATAAGAAATTTCCACTTCCGCCCCTCCTCCCAATACCCTCCCACTCCCCCCACTCCCTCTCCTCCTCCCTCTCCAGTCCTAAGAGCAGTCAGGGTTTCCTGCCCTGTGGGAAGTTCAAGTTCCTTCCCCCTCCCTCCATGTCTAGGAAGGTGAGCATCCAAACAGACTAGGATCCCAAAAAGCCAGTACATGCAGACGAAACAAGTCCCAGTGCCATTATCAATGGCTTCTCAGACAGTCCCCACGTCAGCCACATTCAGAAAATCAGGGGGTGTGGAAGTAAGGGGAGATGGTTAGACAGAAGAGAGTAGGGGAGGACTGGGGAAAGCTTGGGAGAATGGGATGGGGGGAGGGAGGAAGGATGGATATGGAAGCAGGGAAGTATATATCTCAACTAAGGGAGCCATTTGAGGGTTTGCAAGAGACTTGATTCTAGAGGGGTTCCCAGGTCCAAGGAGAGGTCCCCAGATTGTTCCCTGGACAGCAGAAGAGAGGGTGCCTGAACTGGCCTTGGCCCATAACCATACTGATGAATATTTTACATATCACCATAGAACCTTCATCTGGCGATGGATGGAGATAGAGACAGAGACCCACATTGGAGCACTGGACTTAACTCCCTAGGTCCAAATGAGAAGCAGAAGGAGGGAGAACGTGAGCAAGGAAATCAGGATCAGAGGGAACCTTCATCCGACGATGGATGGAGATAGAGACAGAGACCCACATGGAGCACTGGACTGAGCCCCCAAGGTCCAAATGAGGAGCAGAAGGAGGGAGAACATGAACAAGGAAGTCAGGACCACGAGGGGTGCGTTCACCCACTGATACAAGGGAATTGATCTAATGAGAGCTCACCAAGGTCAGCTGGACTGGTACTGAGCGAGCATGTGATCAAACCGGATTCTCTGATTGTTTTTATATTTTTGAGACAGGGTTTCTCTGTGTCATAGCCCTGGCTTTCCTGGAACTCTCTTTGTAGATCAGGCCTTGAACTCACAGAGATCCCCTTACCTCCAGAGTGCTGGAAAATAAACCCTAACTTCCTTTAATTCAGTTGACTGTGAAAGTCACTGATTTTGGAGGTCATGAAGCAGAGCAGCATATCCTGGGTCCCTCGCTAACCCACTGCAGACAAGACCTCCAACTCGGGTTTCCATGACACCAGGCAAGCGTGCTGTCTTTCCAGGCTCTGAAGTCACTTTTGCTAAAAGCATCTGCAGAGGTCTGGTGAGCTGCTAAAGCAAGGTGAAAATGCTTGACGTCTCTGCCTCTTCACCCTGTCTGCTTGACGTCTCTGCCTCTACACCCTGTCTGCTTGACGTCTC